TGCATTGATTATATATTTTATAAGTATACATTTGATATAAAAACGTTAATAACTAGTTAAATGAAAGATGACTAGGCTAATGAGAATAGACTTGAACATTTATTTCAATTTGTCAAAGTTTTTAGTACAAACTTTTACTGACCGGGTTTTTACAAAGTTTATGTATAGATATGTTTATAATCGATCACAGTAACGGGTTATTTTTATTAAAAGTTGTTTATAATTTATCTGTAGTGCGTCATCAGAGGTCTATTTTTTTGTGAGTCTACTGCTAAATATAGTCTGTATAATTAGTTAATCATTGATTCAAAAACAAAAATGTGGAACAGAAAATAATTAATTGAATTTGCAGTTTTAATGTCGGACTCTAGAACGATGACGGAGGATTTAATAATAGACTAGACATGGGAATTTTGTATGTTTCAGTAGTTTTTGTTTTGATAGCCCGGTCTACGTATGTTTGCTGAATGCCTACGAAGACCTAGTATTTTTAGTAGTGTCACCAATCTTGGCATAGCGCCCATTACCTATTGACAATCAAAGCTATAAAAAGACCTATTTTAAATTTCGAACTGTTAAATTTAAAATTTTATTTTACTTTAATTATTTATTTTTTTAATCTCCCTATCTAGTCAAGACAAGTTTCGGATTATTCGTAACCGTTAATTTATTTTTACCTCTTTATAAGAATACCCTAATATTATTTCTCATCGTAAAAATGTATTATTCCCATGTTTTATTTATATTGATGACAAATATGTAGGTCCAATCTAAAAATAACTTGGTAATTTATTTTCAAAAACAATCGCTGTTTTTTGTCCAACCCGGTTGTTGTATTTTTCCACCAAAACAAGGTTGTACCTATTTAATTTATGTTTAAGTCGATTAGACTACGCGTATAACAAGCACTGGCTATTAATAGGCAACATTCATTTTTTGTCTGGTATTATGTAGTCTGAGTACATACGTTATGAACGCGTCCATAGTTTATTGCACTTAAAAATGACCTGAACAAGACAACTGCTGGAAAATTTTAAGTTCTTTTTAAATAAATTCTAGTTAAGAACTTGACTTATGTATTTTTATTGTATATACATGTCTCATGAAAAATGTACTGGTTTTTTTTTGTAAAGAGGTATAATAATAATTAAGTTGTCTTTAATTTTCTCGTCTAAAAATCATTTCTAATTTATATACAAGAAATTTTTGGGAGAACCCATCTGCCATCTGATATTTAGACTTAAATACTCCTAATTAATGCCGATTTATTGACTTACAGTTCGTTGCCCTCTATTTTTTTTTTATTTAACTAAATACAATCGAGGTCAATCATATTTCAACCGGTCTTTTAATGTGGAATAAAAAATAATTGCTTGGCAGAAGACGACGCACATTTGTCTCTGGAACAAAACGGTATTTTAAAGTAACTAGAAATAAAAGGGTGAATCAAGAACTAGTTTGAAAGTGAATTTGTAGTGGAATTAATGTGATAATTTGTTTATAAAGTAAATCAATAAATAAATTATTAATAAAAAAAATTGATTACGATTTTGAATGGTATCTTTAAAATCGCCTTTGACATTTATTACAAAGCGTCCACTGAATGCCAACAAATGTATATATTTTTTGTAAGTTAATTAAAACGGATTTTATATTTTATAACACTGGTTTATTGACGTATGCCAATATTTTTTTATTTTTTATACTGAATAATTTAAATCTGGAATAGGCCGGACAATAAATTAATCGATTTAAATTTTATTAAAATTTTCCATTTTATGTATATAACCTACACATTATATTTTATTATTAAATTATTATTGCGTCATTCACTGGTACCTCCTGTAGGTAGGTAGTCCAATTACAATTTGTGTAGATAAATTATGCAGACAAGCCATATACCTCGCCTTGTGTTAGAATTTGATATGTATCATACAACTACAGGGTTGAGCTTTTAAATATTTGATAGTTTAAGTGACATGTAACATTAATATCAATGAATTATTGCAAAATTGCTTGGGAAAATCCAAAGGAACTAATGCATACGATCAATCATATGTCAGTTATAGATTTTAACGGTACGAACATGATTGCTGTGGAATAATAGGGCTTATTTAGGTTCAATGAAATGTCACATTAGTCTGCACATTTTATATAAAGGGTCTTGGGCTACTATAAAACAAGACTTATGTACTTAGATTATATTCCTTTTACTTATTTGGCCACGTTTGAGTACGTAGTCAAGAACATAATCAAATCAAACTACTTGTATCTAACATATTTAAGGCACACAAGACTTTTTAAATAAAATAAATGCTTTATCTTTTATACATTGAAATTAATTGATATATTTTAAAATTTTCAATGGACTGTTAGTATATCGTTCGATATCAAAAAGCTTTTAAAGCGATTGATTAAACATACGTATAAGTTTCCTTATGTAAGAAGATAGGTATTGTTATGTAGTCTCTAGTATTATACCTAACAAAGCCCTCCGTGGGAAATACACAAAAAATATTATTATGATGATTTATTCTGATGATGAGAACAAAAATATTACAAAAAAAAACTTTATCCTCAATAAGTCAAATAGGAACGTATATATTGTAATAAGGAAAAAATATAGTTCTTCAACGTACCCGTAGTCATCATCTTTGCAGATCGACTCTCTTACGTCAGATTTGAGTTAATGATTGCTTCTCTTTACCATACATTTACAAGGTTCAGAGAAATTATGAACCTTGTTGTCTTTCCGATATGTATGTATATGTATTGTCTGCACTGATTAAACAACCGGTTCGATAAGTGGGTCATAGTCCAATGGTAAAGGTGATTTCTTTATTTATATCCTAAAAAATGTCGCTTAATTTTATCAAGGCAACTACGCGCGCATAAATGCTTACGGTGTTTTTGAGTGAATCCACGTACAAGCAATTAGCCTTGGATTCAAAGTGTAGATGGTATTTCAGATGTTTATAAATGGACAAACAATCAAGATGAAGTGTTTGATTCCTGGTTTTTGTTATTTATATACACATACATAATATAATACAAAAGTCCTCCAACAGAAATACACATGTATAGTGTACAACATCGCCACATGTCGTCAAATAAGTTTTTAACTAGGTTATTCTAATATAAAAATCGAGTGAGCACTGATAAATATTGGGACACCTTGCCGCTGATTTGTATAAACGCGAGACCATAATAACTCGTGAAGGTTATACACAAACAAACTAAACCTTAAGGATTCCCACCATTATAATAAACACTAATAAACACCAGTAAATTCTATTTCAAAATCAACATTACGTCCGCAGTTATTAAAAAAATGTTCCATTATCATTATAATGATGATATTTCATACTTTCAACTTTAAGAATATATTTAATTTTTATATCAAATGTAAGCGTATTTAATTTAATTTCACCTTTAAACAAATCAATTTAGTGTAGAGCTGCGTGAAGCGTACAAGAAGCGTATATATTGATAGTATTGAGAAATTCACAAAAACAATTTTGCCTTGAAACTCACGTTTTTTGACTTAATGACCGATAATACTTAGATTTAGGTAAAAGGTCATGACACATTATAATGTCAATACATAATATTTAATATCGGCACTAATTTAAATCTGTAAACAACACGTGTTTCGGTTTTGTAATAGGTAAGAAAATGTACGCTAAGCTTTCGTATTGCGCGCAAAATTAATTATTATCTGATAAAAGTTCTCACGACGATTATTGCAATTTATTAGTAACTACAGGTTGCAATTATTTTGATTTTATGACAAAAATCTGATAGGAATAAGCTAGTAGTGAGCCATTTTTAGTAATTATTTTAAAATGAGTCGTTACATTTCAATTGGCATTCAAAGACATCAAGGTGCTCTCCTAACCTGATTTTTGCAATTGTGTGTTTTTAAAGATAATTTAATATTCGGCCTTGCTAACTGCGTGTGTAAGTTGTTAACATATAGTATCATAATTAAGTAAATAAATGCTACATAATTTCACAACAAAGGCTACGTCAACTTTTCTCTGCCGTTGAAGGATACTGCCCACTAGGGTGGGGCACGGTCGACTGACAACATTAATTTAAGATATTGCAAAATGGACATAGTATGCGTAGTAATATTTTAGGTGGGAGCGCTCAGACATGAATCACATAAACTTCTTTCACGTCACTAGAATAAAATTTTATTCTCCAACGATTCAAGCTTAAAAATAACTTTCAAAATCTGTCTAGCCTTGATATTTTGATTCGTTGAGGGTTTTGAAAAGATTGCGAAAATAATACTTTCAAAAATTTCATACATCCGGAAGCCGAATTAAATTTTTAAAAACCTGTTTTTTAACTACGGAAGTAACAAAGCGCCAATATGACGCCTACATGCACTCGCGTATAAAATGTTTAAGTTTCCGTGGATAACAAATCTGGTCAGTCAAATTTAATGACACCCTGTCGCGCCTATGCTGATTATTGTTTATGTAATGAACTACTCGTCAGCAGTTGAGGGTCATGACTTGTTATGGACAAGTGCTGAACGACCGAGTTAACTAGACAACTGCCAGTCGCTTCGTCGGCCGCGGTTATTTCGGGTGCAAATACGCTCGCTGTTAAGACGAGCGAAACGCTACGGTCGCAGTAGTTCTTCAGATTCTATCGGTCCACTAAATTCAAATAAATAGGTCTGTAATGTTACATTAATTCACATCTAGGCACACCTCTATTTATTACGATTAATTTGAGCACGACATGCTCCACTGAGACGATTGGCGAATCGGTTCGGCACCTGGTCCACCCTGACATTCGGTAAACTTGACGCTCGGCAGTGAGCGGCCAAACTTACTATTATGTCCAAAACCGCTCATTCTGCAATCGCGGTACGGTGTGAACGCACCTTTAAAATTAATGTAATCCAAACAAAAAAATGTGATTGTGTTTACTTAAGAGTTCCTATAGCAAGTTTTATAAATAAGTTATTGTGATTGTTGCAGTGAAAATGGAGGCGCTGAGTAGGCTAGTCGAGGGCTACCATGACTTGATGGACAACAAGAGTGACCAGAGGGTGAAAGACTGGTTTCTGATGTCGTCGCCCTTCCCTACGCTGGCGATATGTCTCACATACGTATTCACAGTCAAAGTAAGTACGATAATGCACCGCAGCTACGTTAATATGTTAGTATAATGATTTTGCGTCACTTGGATCGATTAACAATTGATATCGCGTCACGGAAGACAAATTAAACATCATTACGAATGTTTTCCACTGGAACTTGCCGCCATTATCAGTACTTGGTTGCGTAACCTAGTAATATTACCTTCCAATTAAACAACATGACATTTGAACGTAACGATCATTCACTTGTTTTGATTGTTTTTGTTACATTTTGTTTTTATCGCAAATAGTTGTAACATGACTTTTATCCTTTTTGCCAGGTGCTGGGACCGAAGTTGATGGAAAATAGGAAACCGTTCGAGTTGAAAAATATATTGATATTCTACAACTTGTTCCAAGTTATATTCAGTATATGGTTGTTCTACGAGGTAAATATTTTTATTATTTCGCTGAATACATGCTTGAATGTAATGGGATTTCTTAACTCATAAGTGTATGTTTGTTTTAGAGTTTGAAGAGCGGTTGGTTTACCACGTACAGTTTTCGGTGTCAACCTGTTGATTACTCGAGGTCTCCAGAAGCGATGCGGGTAAGAAAACCTTCGATAGTCACTTTCCTAAACCCGTTTGCAAAGTTTACGCTCAAAGACAGAGATTTTCATTGAAAAATATTATGTGAATGCGCATTTGAGGTTAAATTTACGTAGAGCAAGTTTTAATTGCAATCACAACCGGAAAGGTATAAGGACAGGCTGAAATAATTAAGAATAATTCACCTAATTAGTGTTTCTAGATTTATCTAACCATAGAGCCTCATCCGTTAGTTGTATTTAACTTAGTTGTTCCTTTATACGAAGAGTTAACCGATAAAGGCTGTAAAATATACTAGGTAATTATATGTTTATTTTATGCAACTTAATTGCCATTACATTGTATGAATCACTAATCCTTTGTTGTAATCAATCGATTTGAATAGTCATGTGATTGTATTACAACTTATTACTTTTATATAAAGGCTATTCAGTTGTTTAGGCAGTATTGTTTACTTACAACAAATAATGGAAAATTAAATTACAAATTAAAATTGCAGTAATAAACCATAAGTATGATGACGTCGCATCTAGAAAAAAAACACTTCCATTCACAATCGACGAACGTACAAATAAACAAATAGTAATTTTATTACGTAAGCGTTTTTTTTATTTTCCTACAACTAGGATTGGAATGATTTTATTACTCACTATTTTTTGTCGTTCACCGAATAGTTTGTCGACAGTACTTTTGCATAGTTGCATCGATTGAGGCTAGTTGTCCATAGTTCTTACATGTGTTAGGTGAGCCGAGGTTGTTTACCTTCAAGTTCATTCGCATTGGCATGTAATTACCGTACACGGAGCCTATGTACCGCCGGCTTTTTATATAGGTATTATTACAATTATATGTATTAACGTGAAATAATAAGAGCTTACGGATATATCATTAGTTTGTTGTGTTATTGTCTCAGATAAAAACTTATTTTGATACGTACACCTAAAGTCTACAGATGTTTTTAGATAGATTTACTATATTACTTACTTTGATTTAATGTACAAAGAGTTTTTTGACTTAAAAGGTATACTTGATACTTAATAGTATAGGTGTTGCTACTGGATATGTCCGACAAAAAGTAGATACATATTATTCAGTAATGCCCATTCATCCCTGCGGGGAAAAACAGTCATAATGAGGTTCTACTTATATACCATTATTAATCACATATTAGGTATTATTAAAGTGGATATAATAATAAATTTCCAATAATACAATTATATGTTTCAATGATTACTGCTTAGCATGTTATTACGTTTATTATTTCCTATGTAACATGCGAAGCAATTGATATTCTTTTGTAGTTTTATGTTATTAAATCTAATGCGTCAACATATAAGGTAGGTATAAGTATTTACTTAGATATATATATACACTTACCGCATACCTACGTTGGTCTAAGTATGTAGACCGATTTTATATAAAAGGAATTCTTTAGCAGTGATTCATAGTTTCATTAACACTTAAAAATTGTATTCAATCCAAACTAATATTATAAATGGGAAAGTTAGTCTGTCTGTCTGTATGTCTGTTTTTTCTTCACATCTAAACTACTGAACCGATTTCTGTGAAATTTGGTACAGACATAGTTTTGAACTCGAGAAAGGACATAGAATAGTTTTTTATACCAAAAATCTGCAGGAAGGGCTATATCATGCGAACGGAGTCGCGGACTACAGCTAGTATGATATAATAAGCAAAAATAAATTAAGTGCAAGTACTTTACTTATGTTTTTTTCTCTGTTTTACAGACAGTCAGTGGATGCTGGTGGTACTATTTCTCAAAATTCACAGAATTCTTCGATACGGTAAGTTAATACAAATAATAATTTATTAAATCTTTTGGATTCTGACCCTTTGAAGCCAGGTGTTTTGTTCTAATAGGAAGTTAAAAAACCCATTTTGAATAATTTCCACATAAATTTACATTTCATTAATAAAAATATTGTTTTCTGGCACAGAAATGAATGATTATAAATACCGCAATAAATTGACAACTTTTGTGGTAACTGTGATTTATTATGCGGTTTTATAAATCAATATAGTTTACTGTTTTATTTTAAAATATTCTCATTTGTACCTTTACGTGTGCCATAAAATGAAACTAAATTATGAATTATTTCTGAAGCAGCTATTATTGAAATAAATTATTTAACCTTTTTAGTTATTTGCTGGTCACAAGCAAGTCATACGGTCTTTGTGTTTAAGAAATAGTAACGTATTTTTTTTAATTATGCCAAATAAAAAATTATTTCTGTTAACATATTGTAGTATAATTATCAAACATTGATTTGAATATTTTGTACATAGACAGATATATCCTACGAATAGGTGGGTGTCCCTGTCCGCACGATTGCGAAATAATTGCACGCTCTATTAATTAACGTGTCCTAATTCTGAACTCTAATAGTGGCCTTCTTTCGCTAACTAAAGCTTAAATATTACAATTTCTAGTTATTATGGTATCACTGTCAAGGCCTACACACTTAAAATATTTACTTCATTACTTTACCAACCAGTTCTGACACCTATGTACCAATATTTAAGTACATAATATTACCGCTCTAATATTAGATTTGTTTGTTTACATTCATTCACTGAATAAATATTATCTTGTACTTCTAGTACAAACCTTTTGTCGGGCTTGTATTTGCAAGTGCACTAATGTACCGAGGGTCCGGCCCGGTGCAGAATGAGGGACGGGCTGGGTCTAGACAGTAAGAGTCTGAAAGTCCCTTTCGACTCACCCAGTTGCGGGAAAAGTCATTTGATGACTTTTCATTCTTTGAAAAAGAGACTTCTCGATAATCAATCGGGTACATATTAACTATGTATGTGACTATGAAATGTAACTTTGTATAGGAAATGAATGAATAAATATAATCCATTGAACTGGTTAAAAGTTGGTAATGTAACGGAATCTCCTAATGACACTTTATATTCAAACGACTGTGTGCGACAAACATCTTTACTAGGAACAAGCCTTGTGAAAATTTCCGTATATATCAATATTCGAGTTCCTCGGGTGATTAACATATGGTGTGATATATTTTAGATACCCAACCGGATCTGTGTGATCCTGTTTCTTTTATATATCGAATCTGGTTTTAAATTTTGCTGCTACCTAGTCTTTAATATTTTTTTTATATCGGAGCGGAAAATCGTGTTTTATCTGTTAATGGCCGCCTTGTTATGTAAAACCGTAGGTCCTGTTTCAGGTTTTAATTTCTAATAAAAATAACTGAATATTTTAGTTAAATGGTTCTATTTTTAGATTGGTAGGTGATATTTTACGCCTATTGCCAGGCTGCGTATATAATTGTTGAGACGCTAGGCCCCCGAAAAGAAGTCGATTCATAAGTTCAGAATTCTTATAAACATGTCACTATTACTTAAAAAGTGTAGGTAATATACATACATATAATTATATTGCGGTGGTGTTACCTAGATGTACTGTATTCACCTATTAAATACCGCCAAATTTCCAAGACGTTAGGCGGCCTAAGATTGAAATAAAAAGAAAAAAAATCCCAATTACCACCTAGTTTAAAAAAAATATGAGTACATTATGCTTTTCAACGATACTCTATTGTTTTTTTTACATCCTATTAGCAAGCTACATAAAAAACGTAAAATCATCGTTAATCACTTATTCTTAAAGATGACCATTCGATTTTAAACACCTGTTCTGTAGTTCGTAGTAAAAAGCAAATATAAAATCAATTCATTGCCCATAAAATGATTGAATGTGACAGGTCTCCTATTGGAAATCTTTTTTATAAACGAATTTGTGAAATATATGATGGATTCGCCAATTTAATGTATTTTCATTCCATCGTTTCCGAATATGTTTTTATCGTAGCTCAGCATCTATGATATTGTTGTAATAGGCACATTTTCGTTTTACGTAGACATACATATATCTACACAAAGTACCTATACGTTTTGAATAATTAAAGTGTTATTCATTTAGTACAAACATACTTTTTCTTTGAAACAGTTGAGCTTATTTTGTTTCCCGGTTTGTTTTTACATGCTTTTGCATAAATTTATGTTGTACTACAATAAAATTGTAATTGATTAATCACAATAGGACGTATGACTTGACGATGATCTGAACTTTTCACTTGCACTACTTTGTATTAATATAGTCACAATGGGTCATTAATAAATTTGGTTGAGAGTACATAACATAGCTCTAATAAAATTCCGTTTTTTCAGATCTTCTTCGTAATGCGCAAGAAGTTTGACCACGTGTCGAAGCTTCATGTGATCCACCACGGAATTATGCCCATGTCAGTGTGGTTCGGAGTCAAGTTCACACCAGGTCAGTCTATTGAAATCTTGATTCAAATATCCTTTTGTGACCTTGTCGATCGGGTCGTTTGTACGACTGTCTTCTGTAGGATCTTTTATTAGATTCTTAGATGAGATAAAGTGGTATAGAGTTTTTCAAATTTCGAATTCTTAGCAAGGTTACAGGTTTCGGTACCTATTCGATATTTGACATTCAGTGCTAGCTTATTATTCAAAATTAACGAAAAAAGAATAACGTTTCGTTATGTACAGTTTTTATCATAGTATCATTATTTTATCTGTAACCGCGATCATTGCACCATTATGCAGTAGGTACAATTATCGTATTAGGTATATTGATTTGTTTGCATCAAATGATGCATTTAGTCATTGCAGTTATGTTGCAGTAATAAATAAAAAGCGTATTGTATGCATTTAAAATAATCATGTTATATACGTTCCGACTAAGATTATCAGCTGTTAAAAATGTCAAGGCAATCGGCTATTTTAATTGATATGGTCAGTTGGATCGCTGCGTCTTGTATATTGCAAAGCTTTCCAATAATATTTGTGATATTTATCCTACGTTTTCTTAAGGTTTTGTTCCCAAAACAGGACCGATATAATGGCACCAGACTATATATAGACGAGGTGATCGTAGGTAGAAATTACTGTGAAGTACTACAACTTTGTTTGCCTTGTCAGGAGTTGTCTAAAAATATCGTAGGCATATACTAAAATGATAGATAGATATTTGATTAGGAATGTTCGATGAAATACAAACGGGCTAAATTGCAATCTAACACTCACGAGTTACTTATAAGAGCGAAGGGATAGCTTTTTCCCATACACCAAGGAACTGGGAACAGGTCAAAACTAGAGAAAGCCACTTGCTCGGCTGCTGCAAATACTAGTCGAACAAGCTGGAAAAGAACAAATAAAATTCAAATATCGCCAGTATTTTTTTGTCTTTTGTTTCCATTAATTGTTCACACCCATAAACAAGTTCTTTAGGTGTTATAAAAACTGAAGACATACGATTAAAGATCTCCAAGTAATGATTACTAATACGCTATTATATTTCACTCAATCACTGATATTACCAGAAATACGTCAACGCTTTTTATCAAAGTTTCTTTGTTCAGATGTGAGCAAAAGAAAATTATTGGGAATACCAACTCGGCCTGTACATATTAATAGCTTCAGTAGATCCGTATAATTATAGTTTTATGTGTATCAAATCTTCGTATAATATCAAGATTGGAAATTTTCAACGAGTTTTTTTATTCGATTGAGCTGAGAATAGCTAGACTAATGTAGGAAATTACCAAGATGTATTTTCCGTTGTATTCATAACATAATAATATATTATTTTTATTATAACTGGACGCATTGTTTGTTCATTTACGTGCTCGGAGTTATAAAAAAAAAACTAAGCTAACTTTTAACCCCCAAATGCCTGGAAATCTCTCATATTTTAAGTATAATCTTCTTATATAGGTATATAAAAATGAATTGCTATTCGCTAGTCTCGCTAAAACTCGAGAAAGGCTGGACAAACATGGCTTATTGTGGTCTTGAAATATTCTCGGATATACAAGGAATGTTTAAAAGGTCAAAAAAAAATATTTGTTATATTTGAGGCGAAGACGAATTTTGCCGGGTTAGCTAGTTATTTAATATAAAAAATGTATCGGCTGCAGCGCTGCGAGAAAGGACAATGGCTTGTCTATTTAACAAGTCTATAGTTACCTACCTAATTGTATATTATGTTGTCATCTCAGTGTAAAGATTAACACGTATCGCGTAATATTTTCCATTGTTACTGAACTGAAAAGTTTAGCAAATACATCCTTAACTAGCTGCAAATTAACAGCAAACAATTAATGACACAATGCCGACTAACTGCAGTCACATATTGATTTATTATTTTAGAATATACTTCAAAGATTGTTCAGTAGAGTTTACTCATTAAATAGAAATTTATTTTATTTATTTTAATTATGTGTACCGTGAATTACGTAACGACTGGAGTTTATTTAAGTTCAAAGTTAGTTAGCTAGGTACACTTATTAGTACGATCACACATTTTTTTTCCACGAAGTTCTCGATGCCGTATGATTTGACCAAATCAAACATGGGTCTTGTATCATTCTCGAACAAAGATTATGTCCGTATAAAAACGCGTTCCATGAAAACAATATTTGCTCAGTAATAAATGACAAGAGCACTCGACAAGTAAGCAAGTAATGTTTGTCCGCTTAGCAAATCTGTAGGTGCTCAAGATCATTCTAGAACTGCGGAATTTGATATGTGGACTGTGTTCCATAGTAATTTGGACAAATACCGCTACTAACCGGTCGAACGGTCACTGTTTGTCTTCTTCGAACTACATTTAAGTATTTGAACTAAACTGGTATATTTTAACAGTTAACTATTCATAGGTATTGCACAGGGTCTAACGGAGTTTGAACTTAAAACATTATTGTTGCTTAGTTTGTTCGTTTACGCCCATAACTTTGTTCAAAGACCTTAGTAGAAACCATAAAAATGTATACGCAAATTGAGTAGGTATTTATATTGATTTCCATAAACTTACATATACCACTTATAATATTTATTTTAATGTTTATAAGGTTTTTTTTTCTGTTTTATAGGTGGTCACTCGACTTTCTTCGGAATGTTAAACACTTTCGTGCACATTGTGATGTACTCGTATTATCTTCTGGCTGCCCTCGGCCCTAAGGTTCAGAAGTACCTCTGGTGGAAGAAATACTTGACAGCGCTACAGATGGTAAGTTTCTATTCAAGCAATAATATAATATTTTACATCTTCTGAGTATAAAGTTTTGTATGGTTCGTATGAAAGGTTGAGGTCAAATAATTCAATGAAAATTTTTCTTTTTAGAAATAAACTTGAATTCGTACTTGAGATGTGATAACACAATTGTCCTCTAATTTTAATATTTTGATGGAACTAATGTACCTACTTCATAATCAAACAGAGAGTTTTTCCGACGCCTATCATCATCAGAATATGATACTATGTATACATCAATAGTTGAATCTGTCACTTAATTCTAAAGAAGAACGAATTAAAAACTAGTTTCAATTAAAGAATAATAAATCCGAGTAAAATTATTCAAACAGCTTCATAGACAGTGGCAAATAAATTGGAATTTGTAAAGGTATTCATCTTAATCCGAACTTGAGAAACGAAGCAAGAGAGATCTCCTTGACATTATAATTATGAACGGCTCGCGTGTAATATTAGATAATACCTAATACATTTTCATTCATAAATTATTATAATACAATTTTTGATATGTCGGCGATGACCGTGTAGCCAGTAGGTAATGATATTACGTTGTAGTTCCAATGTCAATGTTTTGCAATCTGTTAAGTCGGGCGATCGTCTATCCTTGAATATAGCCGTCGGCACGGACAGGCCATTACGTGACGTCACAGTATCCGAACGGGTTCAATGAATAGGACATAAATGTCACCCTTCTCTTCCTACTAGTGACGTATAACCTGACTGATTTATAATATAATTGGTGTCAGGTCCAAGGAAAAGGATTTCCTACGGTCCATTCCTAAGAACTACATTTACTTAGTAAATACTTAAATATAAGTCTCTAAACACATTAGTTTTGTGTTAGGTACAAAATATAAAATAAATTAGACAACACACTCAGACCTGTTTAATGAAATGTTGATATTATCTACTATCCTTAATATGAGGTTGAGATATGAAGAAGAATTGTTTTTGCATCTGCAGGTTCAGTTCGTGCTGGTATTCCTGCACGCGTTCCAGCTGTTGTTCATCGACTGCGACTACCCTCGCGCCTTCGTCTGGTGGATCGGCATGCACGCCGTGCTCTTCTACTACCTATTCTCCGACTTCTACAAACAGGCCTACCTCAAGAAAGCCAAAGTAAGTACTATTAAATGACTCAATTCGATCGAGCTTGTTTCTTAGCAGAACAATAACACTGTAATTAACATAAAGAAACAAAGAACACTACGCCTTTGTGCAAGTTATTGCCAACCGATGTTGATATATTTTCTACAATTATCACGTCTGATGTGCCATAATGATTTATATACTAATGCGGTAGACCATAGAATTAATTTGCATCATTATGACATTAACTTTAATATATTGTCTGTTGTTCTTTTGCAGAGAGAAAAAGCCAAAGTAAAGGTTGAGGCAGACGCCTTGAAGTCAGACACGAAGGACAGGAGGCTGCCTCTACTTAACGGCTTCAGCAATGGATCCGCGCTCGGCGATGTCCGGCAAAGGATGGCGGGCGCAGTCGCGTCACAATGATCGCCTTCTTGGTACCCCCTAGTTTGAAGAATCTCATCGCACCGAGTGAATACACTATGTGTACTCACATGAATTCCTCTAATTACAAATACTAACCTAACCTTGTTACGGGTGACGCGTCGGCTCTGCCACATAGCCCTAACAAATAAATAGCAGTTGGCACGAAACGTGCTTTATAACGATCATAAACTACATTTAATTATCGATTCTTACTGACGCGATGGTGCAGTATAGTGTCGTGTCGCTCCATGATAATGTTGCATCATCCTGATGGGTAAGAACAATCGATAAACTGGTTAAAGTACAAAATACGAGGGTCGAAAATTGCCCGGACACCGCCGCGGTACCCGACGAGACTATAAGCTCAATTAGTTATAAGTTATTTGTATACGTAGCTCAGTAGTGATAGTAGTTGTAATTTATTCAAAACGATTACTGTAAGTCCCTAGGATTCTAAACAATAACGATTCTTGACTATTTATTCGGGCACGGATATGGTAGGACTAAGATAGAGCCAGTATTTCCATTTGTAAAGATGCACTTGGGATGTTTCTGATAGACATCTATAGAAATGGTTTTTTAACGCTGTCAAATTTGTTGTCTGAATTTATATGAAAAAAAAAGCTGTAGAAACGCTTACTTACGCATCTTGTATTATTTGAGAAAAGAGAGCAACGCTAGATTCATAATGAGTTAAATTGACAAAATGTTTAAAGTATGAAATTGCCGGTTAGTTTGTTTGAATTTTATGGAAAAAATCTATAAACTGTATTTATATTCGTAGTTTTCTAATCTAAATCACTCAAACATTTTTAGTATTTTCTATGTACGATATTCATATTATGAATCTGAATCTCTTCGTTATCTATCTATCATACTAAAAAAATAAACCGGTAATTTCATAAATTAACATTTGATAATAGGTTTGACCCTTTGTCGAAGTACGACAAAATATTGATTCACATAAGATCGACCGAATAATCTAAAACACAAATCAGTATCAATCAGATTAATAATCTAAAATTCAGTCTCAATATTTTTATTATTTACATTACTAAGACTGGCCGTTTGATTATACTTTTTCTAGTATTACGACCTAATTAATTTACCTAAGCGCAAGACGAAAAGTTACTGGCTTAAAACTGCATTGCTAAATATGAACATTTTTAAAAGAATTTTTTACCATAGTTTTACCATCGAATTAATAAATCAATCAAGATATATCTCATCTTTGAAAAATATTCAAGAAGTACTTATATTGATTCTTATGATGATCGGAAGGGATATTTTCAAAATGTATAAAATTTAAACATATAGCTACTTAGTTATTTGTAAAAAATACACTGAAAATTGATTCGAAGTTAAATTTTGAACCATCAATAATGCGGTTAGTAAAATCCGAGTCTATCTTATGTGTGTTCAAAAACAAAGCGCCTGATAAAACACTGAACTTTTTCTTTCACTCTAGAAGAATAGAACAAATCTGAAATTTATATGATCTTTACAAAAGTAAAATAATTATCAAAACGTTTGATGATAATTCTGGTATTAGTTATTGTAAAGTATTCAGGAATCCAAGGCTATTCACATAATGTATGTACATATATAGATACCTAACATCGACATGCTGTAAATATGTTAAAGGGTAATCGTACATTTATACTTTGTGATACATAAGTTAATAAAAGAGAATTTAATATTTATCTTTGTTTTTTTTTTTTAATCCTTAAAACAATTTATTCTTGCTACCTAGACCTGCTAAGTATGTAAAAATTGTTTGTACCAACGAAGCATCTGCAGAAGGTGCAACAAGCAACTACCTACAGCTATTGAGCCAAAAATCTTAAAGCCAAAATGCTCCTCATTGTTATTTTACCATTCATAACTATTCAATCTGTTTACCTACTTAAAAATATTTTTTGTACCTATTTGTATTACTTACTTCTTTAATAAAAAATATGTCAAGGCAGCCTGTCGCGAGCTTTTGGGCTGTGGCGACCCCCGACTCCCGGGAGGTGTCTTGATTGAAGATCTGCAAGAGTTGAAGGAGTCTCGGCGGAAGGATGTATCTCAGTAAGAAGCTGGTAGGGGTCCCGACTGTACTTCCGAAATTGTTCTGACAGCCGTGGGATAACCTCTCCTTTCCAAAACAGCTCAACATGTTTTACCCCCGTGTCGCTAGCGGCCGCTTGCGGGGGCCATCATTATTTCATGGTTATCATATTTTTCTGTCCATAACCACCCACACACATAGCTATATAATTTTCTACCATATTGCACTATATCCTGCATCAACCGGGGATTGTCCTAAGGTGCGCTTTCATCTATACTAATATTATAAAGAGGTAAAATTTGAAAGATTGTAAGTTTGTATGTAGGAGGTAATCTTTGAAACCGCTGGACGGATTGCCAAAATTATTTCACTGATAGATAGCTACAATGTTTCTGAGTGCTATAGGCTATAAAACATCAAGCTACGATCAAATGGAGCCGAGCACGGGTGACACCGCGTGAGAGTAGCTAGTAGTGCATAAAGGGATAATTGCCAGCTGATGTCCCATTTCACTAATATTGTAAAGTTGATCAAACGGCTTCAGCGAGTTGGCTTCGGCCTCTTGTACGCCTTCATGGGTTCGACACCCTGTTGTCCCGTGAATAGAAGCAAATGCGGTAATTGTAAATAGATACAGCAGTAATAATACAAATGGTACCTACATACAAGATTTTTTGTAAATCATGGTACTAGTAGGTAGCTGTCTTATGAAGATGATAAGATTTAACCTGCGAGTTCATAAGTTACCTAGTCGTGAAATTTTAGAATAATTTGCTCCTTTCTGAAGATCACGGCAATTTTGCTGCAAGGTGATCGAGACAATATTTCTAACTTATGAACACAAAAACCTTAGGCTCGTAATTTACAGAATTACGAGTGCCTTCCTTAGTTTTATGGTAGAGTCAGTGTTATGTTCATCATCATCAGCCTATAAGTGCCCACTGCTGAATAAAAGCCTCTTCCCACATGGAGAAGGTTTGAGCATTGGTCGTTACACTTGCGGACTGGCGATTTCAAACTTATAATTTTAGAAATTATAAGTCCATGTTTCCTCACGATGTTTTCCTTCACCGTTTGTCAGTGGTGTCTAAGTAATCAATCATAGAAAGTACCCTACTTGCCAATTAATTGCCACTACATTTATGTTGTTGACTACAAATGTTTTTTTCTTAATTGTAATTAATAAAGAACTAATGATAAGAAGATTAGATACTGAAGTTTATAAGAATGTATCTATGTATCTGTATTAATAAGAATTTATGAATATATCTAATGTAGAATTTAATAAAACAATGTGACATGCTGACGTTACCGTCGTTAGGCATTATTAAACATAAGTGTTTTAACTTAAAGTAGTAGGTATAGTATTAGTACATTTAGTTTATAGTTATAACTAGATATTATTTGATGAAATTAGTCAGAACATAATTACTAATCTGTTTGTAAAGATGATTTGCTATTTTTATGCATCTTTGCTCAAGTGAGATGACTAGGCACGAGTTTGTGTTCGCTCCCTACCGACCTAAAGACGAATGATTAATCTAGACTTTTATTCTAAAGCTGAAGAGTTTCTTTGTTTGCTTAAACTCGATAATCTTTGAAACTATTGGTTCGACTGTACGGTTGGTGCGATGGCTAGGCAATTGGCTGCCGTGCAACGTGTCGCGGGTTCGATTTCCGCACGGAACAACTCCACAAATTGTTGTTCCGGGTCTGGGTGTGATGTGTATGTGAAATTGTATGTTTGTAACCGCACCCATGACACAGGAGAAAACCGTAGTGTGAGGCACAGTTTTCTTAAAAAAAAACAATTGGTTAGTAGTTGAAGAAGGATTTAGGCTACAAAACATTGCGGAGCAGTTATGCTCGCAAAGGAGGAGGCGGAGCGCGTGAGGGAACTATCCTCCGCAGAAGGCGACATTCCGGGCGTCGGGGATCGAGAGATGATCTCCGGCCACCGTAAGTGCGGGTCTGCGGACGGCGAGTAAGGGTAGCTCGCCGCCCGAGCAGAACCAGACCCGAGCGTACGGCGCGTAGCGTTCCGCACGCGCCTCAAAGAGCCAATAGACCACCACAGACGGGGCCCAATAGGGCTGATGTTCAGCCGGGGTTGCGGGGTAAGTGCAATGAGGCACCGCGACCTCGGCCCAGAGCAGGAGAAGGAACGGGGGGGGGGGTTTTAGTCAGTAAGAGTCTGACACTTCCTCCCGCCCGGCCCTGGGCGGGAGAAGTCATTGGATGATTTTCCCCTGACAGAAAAAAAAGGCTATAAAACATTACTATACGTTTGTTATGAGCCGAGCAGCGGGTAAAACTGCGAGGAGATAGCTAGTTAGTAATGTTACTGATTTTTGGAAACAAGCTAATATATGTAAGCTGCGGGGCGGGACTGTGTAAGCAAATACCTAGTAGGTACCTTATACCAGGCTAATACCTGCTTTTCCTTTCGGATTATAACTGAAATGTGATTCAGGTAAATAAATAAGCACGTTAGGTCTGTAACAACACTCTGTGGACGAAATCAGGCTGATGATGATAATGATGACGATGATGGTTGGCCTTTCTTATATATGTATATGTGATTTTTTATGTTTATTCTCACTCAGGAACAGGAGGAAATCCAGAATCAGTCAAAGTTTTTCTAAAAAAAATATCAAAATAATTATTAATCCTTAAAAGGCCATTTTTGGAAAAGCCAAAATCCAAGCCCTGTTGTAAGCAATTGGCACCGACTGTACTATGGACAACACAAGAGTGTTTGCAAGTAGCCTTTTTTTAATGAATAGGCTGAGTATATTTTTTGTTAACTGTTCTAAATCAAAGAATTGGTCGGATTTCCCCTAATGGATTCGTGATTTCTTTTTTTTATAAAACAAATTAATTAGCACGTAATAATTTGGGACAGTTGACTTGGTGATGATTTCTTAGTAACAAAAAACAAAAATACTAGTGGCTTTTCTAATATATACTTAGAAACCACATATATAGAATACCTGAGTATAGTAGTTTCCTTTATCTATTAAATTTTTTCACTCAGAACATTCGACTAGCGACATCTATTGATAAATAGCTTATCTTTTGCAAAGTGACAGTTTCTTTAATATTTTTACAGTTTACTGCACTGAAATTTGTATTTAAAGTTAATAAAAATTCTTATGAAAAAATATAATTAACTGATAAATGAAGAAATGATAGTGAATCACAAATAAAATTACTTTATGAGCTCAAGGAACTAAATTTTTCTTCTAAGTTAAGCTACTCGACATTAGATGGCACTGTTTACAATTTAATTGTAACTGCAGATTTTTGCTAAGATTCAATTCCCTCGATTCTTTTAATGTTTGATAATATTATTCAAAGAAGAAATTCAAGAATGCAACTTCAAAGTCGAACGAAAGGTATCTAATTTTTTTCGCTCACACTTTAGAACATTTAACTGTGCTTTTGTTTTAAACATTTTTGAAGAGATAACTCATTTGCGTACAAATACACTGGTCTCGTCAATCTTAATCAGCTTTATAATTCTCCATTTACTTACAATTTTTAGATCTTTCAATCGCCTTTATCAAAAATCATCCATAATTTCTGTTTACTAAGGTAGGTAGATAAGGAATCTTTGTAATGTGAGAGTTAATACTGTCATATACCGAAACAGATTTTGATCAATCTAAACTATT